CCCTAGACAAAAAGAAAATTAGATCTTAACGTCAAATTCAGATTTCTGTTTTTTTGAATATAATTTCATTGTAAATTCGACTATCAACAAAGTTTAAAAACTTTTCAATAGAGACTCTATTGTCCATTTCAGAGTTAAATGGCTGTGGGCATTTTTTGAAAAGAACGAGATAGAGAACTGCAGTTTTCACTGTCGGATAGAACAGATGAAGACACATCGAATTATATTATAGAAAGATTTTTTTTTCTAGCTACTTTCCTATAGGTTTTACATAAAAAAGCATGCTTCTCATGGTCTCGATTTTCAGGAATGCGATAGAGTCGCCAAAGGAAGTGCTAGAAAACTATATCAAGACTCTGTTCTTAACTACTTACCAGTATGATATCTAAACCATCGAAACACAATTTATCATCTCAACAAAATAATTGAAAAATGTAAATTTTTGATAGAAAAGCCACTTTTTTTTGACGTAGAAGAAAAAAAGCAATTTTTTTGGAAAACGTTTGACAAAACCGTTAGGAAAGTAGTTAGAGCAATCTTTCTATAATATAATTCGATGCGTCTTCATCTGCTCTATCCAACGGTGAAAATCGTAGATCACTATCTCGCAGAGATGTCCATCGCGGTGCGGCGCGGTAGCGGTCGTTTTTTTAACTAACTATCGCGGCAGCGGCGCGGTAACGGTAGGTTTTTTTGGAGAACAATGCAAAAATGCATGAATTCGAACAGAATTTCAATGTTTGCAAGTGCAAAACTATGAGATTCAGCGAATCTTATCGATCGGTAACAACAGCTCAAGTCCTGAACAGCCACAGATCGTAAAATTCACAACATTATTCGAACAATCATCGCGGCAGCGGCGCGGTCGCGGTATGGTTATTTTTGGTGGCGACGCGGCAGCGGCGCGGTAGGTTTTCTGATTTTATCACCGCGATGCGGTAGCGGCGCGTTAGCTTTTTTCTTTTATCGTCGCGGCGCGGCAGCGGTCAGTTTTCAACCGCGATGGACATCTCTGCTATCTCGTTCCTACCAAAAAGTTATTCAAAAAAATGCCCACAGCTATTTAACTCTGAAATAGACATTAGTAGATTGTTTAAAAGACAAGTTATTTTCTTCGTATAGAAATAATTTTCTATGTTAATATTATTATTGTTAACTTTCTAATCAACGATCATTTCGATTATCTCTATGGTAGATAAACTTATAAATCGAAATTTTATTTAATATCAATGGATAATATGTTTAAGAATGTTTAAATTTAATATGAAAACTAAAAAATCAAAATTTTGTTTTTTTTTTTTTATGTAAATTTTCAATTCGATCATACAAACATAACAGAAATAAAATAATTCATTCTATATACTTTTTCATTAATAGCATTTTGTAAAAGTTTAACAACATCTTCATTAACAACACCAGAACAATTAAAACCTTTTGTCCATGCTGTTAATCGAGCCGATGAAAGACTTTCTTGTTTACAAGGAAATGAAAATGTAAAACCTAAATAAAATATTTATTCAATTAATATTCATATATATATATATACCTAATGGATAACATATTCCTGAATGTAATAAAGTTTCTCTTTTCATAAAATCTGATAAACATTCTGCTAAATGTCGAAATAACTAAATGAAAAAAAAAAGAGAATATCACATATATATTTTTTGTTTTATGAAAAAAAATAATATACATGTCTACCATCACCAATCATAACAGATTGTGGAACAACAAATATTTTTGATGTTAATTCAATTTTTGAATTTCCATGTAATTTAATTAATAGTATACGAAAATTTGTTCCACCTAAATCAAGTGCAAGTATTTGACCAACTTCAGTACCATTTGGAATATGTCGTACATAGGATGGAAACATTTTTACACTAGCTTGTTTATGTGTTGCAGGTGAAAGACCAGCATTCATTTCATCTTCTAATGTATGCATTATATGTTGTAATTGTTCATCGGTTATTTTTAATGAAGCAATTACTTTTTCAATCTAAATTTATAAAAAAAAAAAAAAAAAATGTATGAAATTAAAATAAAATGAATTCTTAACTTATTATTCTGGAGATACTACTGTTTATAAAGAAATAATTATAGTTTAAATGAACTTTTGAAAAATATTCTTCTTCGTCCTTTTGTATAAATAAATAATTCAAAATGTGGAAATCATTATGTTCGATAGGAAAATTGTTTTATTTTAAGAAATAAGGGCTTTTCTTGAAATAAATCATTCAGATCAATAACAAAGAAATTTTAAACGTATGAATAAAATGTTTTATTTAGTTCGAAACAACTAAAGATTAATATCGGATTACAAAAAATGACATTTTTAACCATCATAATGCGTGATTCCGTATTGGAAACTATCCATTCTGACAGAAAAGAAATATCAAATTCGTAATCAGCGTCTAAAATTGAATCAAATTACATATTTTCTAGTACAAATAATATTCCTCGAAAAATTTGTCTGTATTACATAGGTCCAAACAGGCCACGTTTTTTAGATCTGCACGGCTTATCAAGTTTTTCGAGCAAGTACAATAATGATGACAAACTAGAAACCAAAGGTCCAAACAGGGCACTAGGCAACCTGATCCTGACCTGCCTGTCATAGGCATCACCCATGGTTTTCAGACTAGTGCAAGTCAGAGGTTCAAGCAATTTTTGGTCTGTCACTTGCACTAGTCTGAAAACCATAGGTAATGCCTATGGTAAGTGGGTCAGGATCAGGTTGCCTAGTGCTCTGTTTGGACCTTTGGTTTCTAGTCTGTTATCAATATTGTACTCACTCGAAAAACTTGACAGGCCGTGCAGGCCTAAAACACATGGCCTGTTTGGACCTCTGATCTGTAATATGTTTATAATAACGGAGCAAGAAATTTTTTAAATGTATGTTTAATGACGGCTCAAATTTTGAAATTTTATAACTTTATGTATATAAAAGAAAACAAAGCAATATGAAACGTGAGACTAACTCAGGAATCTCTTATATAAATACTTTCATAAATATCAAGATCATTTTCTATTCTGAATTAGATTTAAAAGACTTCGGACTTTTTCTTAATTCTATATCCATGATCTACTTTAAATAAAATAGCTGAGTAATACTATTTAACTTTTATTAATATATAAATCAGTCAAAAGTCAACGAATATATATTTTATGTTATTTGAGAAACATAAAAAAGCATTGTTATTTTCTTAGATAACATACTTGATCATTAAGTTCTGGATATCGATATCGTTTAATAGAATATTTTTCAGGTGCAGCTACACGATATCCAATATAAACAGCAGTACCAAGTACACAAGTTGTAGCTAGGCCATAAGCAACTTTTCGTAATAATGATGAGATTGAATCATACGAAACTGTTTGAATAAAATCGAGTGACATAATCTCTAGAAGAAAACAAACAAATGTAAGAATTCATTTTAATGATAGATTTTCTATCTATAATTATTCCTTAAATGTTCATATATCAAAACTCGTCATAAAAATACTTTAAAAGTTAAGAATGAATGAATAACTATTAGTATACTGTTTGTTTATCGAAAGATTAAATTATAGAAAGAGAGAAAAAGAAGAGATCTTATCTGTCTTACACTATCCGACGAAAATTATCAAAACTAGTCGAAACATATTTGTCGTTCTGTTATTTGTACATTCTAGTGTAGAACATCGAATAATCAATCAATCAAAAAGCAAGGGAGGGTTGGCGTCAGAGAGTATGTCTACATGAAAATGACGTAAGGTACTTACTTTCATATATGTATATATATATGAATAGATAAAAGCGAAAAAAGATAATAAGTTCAACGACGTCTCGGACTATGATTTGTTTGGTCCGTCAGTCATGATCGATGGCACGGTGTTATTCAAGTAATGTGTGGAAAAAACAACAGCGGACATGTATCCTTGACTGTTATAAAAAAATAAATAAATACCTACATAAATATAATGTTTGTCTTCAGATGAACGGATATTTTCAGGTTTTATTTAAAAACTTTGGAGAAAAAAAAACTTTTGATATTCCTACATTTCGAAAAGTTTGTAGAGTAAGATATCAATATAATAAGTAAACAATATATATTTCTATTTAAGATTTCATAGTAGTGATTTAACCAAGTAGAAAAATTATGTAAAAAAAAGTATAATAAGAAAAGATTATTTGCGTGTCTGAACTAACATTAAAAGTTCATCTAGATAATTATCAAGATTTATGTTTATTTTAATCCAATAGCAATTGAAATGAACATACGAGTTGTCGAAATACTATAACTTCTTTGTTTTTTCTTCTTCTTTTCAATCGTAATTATTTTCAGTATTTGTTGACGAACAATAAATTTCCCTTGAGGCAGACAAAATAAATAATTTGCATAAAATTATTTAAGTGTTTATAGAATGAAAGGACATCTTTCGAGATTTTATTTTTTTTAAGTATTTCAAATTCTAGATTTTTGTTTTCAAGGTTTTTTTCTGTTTACATTAATTCATATTTTCTTTATGACGACATTTTCAGTTTAATAATCAAAGATAAACTTTTCGATAATATTTTCATTATAACTAAATTTTTTTTTTGTCAATATGACAGAAAAATTCTCATATTTAAACATACGACTAAAATTTTAATTTTAGTCGAAAAAGTTCATTTATGAATCTTAGTTCGTTCATATTTAACATTCTAATACTATAATTATACAACATACAAAGTGAAAAGTTTTTTTTTTTCTTTTTCTGAATTAACAATTTAAATAGAAAAAAAAAATCTCGTATGAAAAACTTGAATAAAGATTTCAATAAGATTAGTCTTTTTTTTTTGGTCTGATACAAGCAAAAAAAGCATTAAAATATTTCAATATGCTTTCAAATTATATCTTGTAAATAAACATCGTAGATAAATTTATTTCAATTAAATTAAAATGCAACCAAAGAAAAGACAAAAAAAATCATCGTATTGACAAAAATTAATAAATAAATAAATCGAAATGTTTAATTTAACGAAATGTCCATAATGGATCTAATTGATTAAATGGATCAGATAAATCTTTAACTGGTGATGATTTTGTTCGAAAAAACTCTTCTCGTGTTATTTTAGGTTTTATATGACTTTCTTCTGGACGTAAATTAAAATTTTCTTCAATAGCTGTTAATTGTTTTATTACTGGTTTTTCTTCAATTATATTTGATGTTGGAGTTGATGAAAGTATTGGACCAACATCATAATTAGGTATTGATTGTATAATTGGTTTAGCTTTATCAACAATTGTTTGAATTTCATCATCAAATAAATGTGTATAAGTATTTGAAGAAGTTGATTTTAATGTTGATGATTGATGATGCATCATTGAACCAACTTTTAATACTCCACCTTTATAAAACAAATAATTTTGAATAGAATTAAAAAAAAACTGAAATCTTACGTTTAACAAGAAAATTTTGACAATAATAAAGTAGAGTTTCATAGACAAATTTTAATTGATTCATATCTTGTATTAAATGACGACGTTTCGAACGAAGTAAACGAATTATTTTATTTAAATCAGGAAATGATCGACCTTCATCAATATCTTGTATACTTGTAAATAAAGCTAAAAATGGACCTGTACGAGATACACCACTCCTAAAATGCACAACAACAAAAAAAAAATTTTTTTTCATAAAGGTGAACTTTTCTAGATGACAAAATGTTTTTCGATCGAAACGATGTTTATTTTATGTTGAATGGTTCAATATTCTAAGTCTTCATTTTTAAGATAGATTGTTCAATAAAAAGCTGAGATTTTCCTTACCCAGTGAAAAATATGTCTAAAAATAACGGAAGCGAAAATGCATTCATAAAAATGTAGAGACTTGTCTTTTACATAAAGAATGTGTTCTACAGTTTAGCGAACGTTTTTACAAACAAAAAGAAAAGTTCTGAGTCTAAGGGAACTCATTCTTTACTATTCCACACTAGTACGGAATGTTTTCTTTCTCAGTTCAAAAATCGTTCTCTATCTGGATAGAAAGCGTTCTAAACCGTTCCATGAGTTAATAGAACATGTCTCTGCCCATTCTATTTCAAAACAGTCAAGATAGGATTCCATCGAAATGAGACCAACATTCTCTTGAGAAACACCTGAGAATCGATTCTTTTGACTGATGAACGCTTTCATCTGAATTTTGATTCAAGAATGCGTTCCAAAAAAAGCTGGAACAGTTAAGAATGCATTCCAAAAAACATGGAATGTGTTCTTAATGGTTCCATTTTGGAACGCATTCCACTTTTGTTGGAACGTCTTCTTTTCTTAAAAAAAAGGGCTTTGAATTTTACGAAACGCGTTCTTTGAAGGAAATATTTTTTACTGAGTAGGTCATGTGGAAATTCGATTTTTAGTCAAAGTTATCAATCAGATTAATTCGCTAAATAAGTTTTAGCTTTTTCTACTATTTCATTTTTGAATATGTAAATATAATTTATTCTATACATAAAAAATCTTACGAGGAACTTTTTTAAAATTAACACTAATAGCATATTACTATCGAAAGATTTCATTTTTAATCAAAAAAAGAAAAAAGTATGAATTTATTAAAACATACAAACAAGTAGCCAGAATTGTACTTCGTCGATTTCGTGTTTGAATAAGATAATGTTCTACTTCTTGAATAAATTTTAATAATTCAATAGGATTATCTGGCATTTCTCTATGATAAAAAAAAAAAACAGATTAAATGTCAATTCTTAAACATAACATACTTTGGTGGCCAACCAAGATGTTCAAGCCATACTACAGTTCTTGATTGATTTGTCTTTAATTAGAAATAAACAAAAAATATTTTCAATTTTTTTTTTTTTAGAAATTTATCAATATATACTTGTAAATGATGAAGACGTATTATTTTATGATTAGTCAATTGACTTGGACTCTTTGTACTAAGTAATGTTATTGTAAATGATGAAAATTGAAGTTCTTCATTTACTTTTTGTGGATAAACATTCTATATAAATTATCAAAGATTTTAATTAAAAACAAAAAAAGAATATATATATCTTCATACAATAGATTGCATTTCATCAGGTCTTAAAAGTACAGCAACAATAGATACATGTTGTTCATAAATCATTGACCAAAAATCTCCAATTGTTGTTGATAATGGATATTGAGCAATTAAAAATGATGCATCACGAATTCTCTAAAATCATAAACATATTATTATTATATTGAAATAAATCATTTTTTGTTTTTTTTTTACTCCAATTGATGTTGCATTTATATAATCATTAAAATGTTTTTGTTGATTAGGATTTGTTTGAACAAGTTGAACACGTGAATTATCATCTATGAAATAAAAGAAACAACATTTTTTTCGGTTTCCTACACATTTGAGATATGTTTATTAGAAGATGTCAAGATAAAGAATCTTATTTAATAGTCACAATGAGTTTGTTGTATCCTCTCCGAGGATAAAATTTTATTAAATTCTAAATATAATATTTATAATCAACATACTTATATGTAGATATGTTATGATTGAGAATCAAATGAAATATTTATATCCTAATCTTAAAAACTTACATGGAATTAAATCTTGAAAACGATTTAATTTTGGATTACATTTTCCAATTGCACAAGTTTGTGTATGTACATCTTTTTCTTGTAAATCTGATAATTCCTATGAATAAATTAATGTTTTTTTTAAAATAATTTTATTTAATTTATATTCTTACTTTCCATTCAACTTCAAGTGGTACTGTACCATTAAGAATTTTTTTCGTCATTGTACTAACATGTTTTTCAAAACGTTGTACATCACCTACTAATTGATCAAGTTTATCTTTATCATCATATGGATCTTGTGGTGGATATAAACTATTAGTTGAAGGTGTAGAAAGTGTTTGAATTGATTGTTTGTCTTCAATAATCATTGATAATGGTTGAATACAAGCAATTGGTTTACCATTACTTTTTATTTGTAAATCTTCATCCAATGAATTAATTGATTGAACTTCTGAACTAGTAGATTCAGTACTGTTTGTTTCTAATTGTTGTTCAAGAGCTAATGATAGTAAATCATCAGCAATATGAGGTACGGAAGATTGTTTTGATATTGAATTTATTTGTGAATTTGTTGTAGATGAAGATGGAGCAAGATTAGAAGAATGAACATATTGCACAGTTTTATTTGAATCATAATTATTATTATTAATTGATGATGATGGAGCTTGAGGTTGATTTGTTGAAAATAAACCACCAGGACGATAGACATCTTGCGGATTGATACGAGTTGTTGGCGAAATTATTTGTTGTGGTTGAAGTGGTTGAATCATTTGTTGCTGTTGAGGTGGAGAAATCATTTGTTGCTGTTGCGGAGGTGGAATCATTTGTTGTTGTTGAGATGGAGGAATCATTTGTTGCTGTTGTGACAGTGGAATCATTTGTTGTTGTTGAGGTGGAAAAATCATTTGTTGCTGTTGAGGCGGTGGAATCATTTGTTGTTGTTGAGATGGAGGAATCATTTGTTGCTGTTGAGGTGGCGGAATCATTTGTTGCTGTTGAGGTGATGGTGACGTGTATGGTGGATTTTGTGGTTTGGGTATATCATAAGCTCCTACGGGTTGTGGACGATAGGGATCGAATTTTGCTGGTAGTGAAGGTTGATGCGCATTAAGATTAGGATCATTGAAAGGCTGGTTTTGATGAATAGTGGGCTGTTGTACTGTTGATTGAGGAGGTATTGGTTGAGTTGGAATTGTTTGTGATGATTGTGGTATTTGATGATGATGTTGTTGTGGTGGTGGTTGATGAAAAAATGAAGTGTTTGCTGTTGGATGAGCAGAAGAAGTTTGATATATTGGTTGTTGGAAGGAAGATGTTTGATAAATTGGTTGTTGAAATGATTGTTGACTAGATACAGGAAATGATTGTTGTGGTGGCTGATAAACTTGTTGCTGAGTAGGAGGTGATGGTTGATAAACTGGTTGTTGCGGTGGAATTTGTGGTTGATGGAACGTTTGTTGAGTTGGAGTACTAGATTGAGGAATAGATTGTGAAGGATGAAATTGTTGATATTGAGTAAATGGTTGTGTTGGAAGCGGAGAATTATAAGTCATTTGTGATTGACCACGATAATTTTGTGCAAGTAAATTTGCATTAGAATCAATCGAATGCGATTGATTAAGTATTGGTTGTTGATATGATATCGAATGTTGTGGTACAAAAGATGATGATTGTGTCGGTGGAGGAACATATGACATCGATGGTTGTTCAGAATGTATTGGTGATTGTGCTTGATAACGATGTGGATTAAAATTAGATAATGATGTAAGTGTTGTTCCAGTTGTAGTTGGTACAGATGAATATAAAGGAATAGATGATGGTGTTGGATTAGTATAAATATTACTATTGTCTCCAATATTTGATCCAGGTAAATGCATATACATATTTTCTTCACGTTTAGTCGATGAACGTTTTGATGATCGATCTGTATTTGAACCCCATGTATCAGGTTTCATTGCAGCTAAATAATCTTTCAAACGTGGTCGATCAGATGTAGTCATTGGTAAATTATTCATTGAAAAATCAGCTTCAGGTAAATCTTGATTAGACCAAGTTGGTAATGGACTATGACGAGAAGGTATATTGGATGGTAGTTGACGATGTAATAAAGGTTTCGGCGGTAGTGGTTGTTGTTGAGATTTTAATATATTAAGACGATCATTTAGTTTTATCAATTTAACACTTTGCTATTTAGATTAAAATAAAATAAAATAAAAAAAGAAAGTTGTTAGTACGAAATATATCCTTTTACTTAATTCTCAAGAAATGTATATAACGAAGTAGTTCATATATATTAACAATCTTTTTATAGTATGTCTCAAAAGTCAGCCGCGAAATAAAACAACTACAATAATCCAAATAATTTACAAAAACCTTCTCATTATTTTATAGAATATTCTTTGACTTTTGAGACACACTGTAAATTGTGTGTCACAAAAAAAAAATATAGATTAATGATTTCGAATCTAAATTACCTTTTTATAAAATTCAATGCCTTCATTTGCTTTTGCGAGAGTATCTTCAAATGATTTAAATGAATTGATATATTCTTGAATTAATCGATTACGACTAATAAAAATTTCAAAAAAAAAAAAAGTGTTATTGTTTTTTTTTTTTGTGTTTTGTATATTTACGTTTCATATGTTGTTCCCATTTTTGTTCTCATATCAGCAATATCTGCATTAGCTTCTGTTAATAATTGTAAAATATTATCTTGTGCAAGACAATTTTGTTTAATAATATTAACAAGTTCTTCATGTTTTTTAACTTGTTCAGAAAATAAAGTCTAAATAAAAAAACAATGAAATTAAAATTTCTTTTTTTTTTTCATATGAATTACTTTATGATTTTCTTGTCTTTGCATAAGAACAAGTTTTGTTATATCATCATCTTGAATTTTTTTACGAAAATCATTTACTAACATTTCACGTTGTTTTTTCATTGTTTCAATTTTTTCATTTAATAATGCAAGACGAGCTATTTTTGGTTTATTTGTTTCATCTGAATAATTCAAAAAAGAATATTTAAAATAAAAAAACAGATGTTTTCTCTTTTTTTATACCATCAAGTTCCGTTATAACAGGTAAAGTTTTTTCTAATTGTTCAAGTGATGAATTAAGAATTTTTAAATGTTCAATTATTGTTGTCATATGTCGATGTAATTCAATATTACTTTCATTTGCTTGTAACATCATATCATGAATTGATTTTAAATTTAATTTTAAATCTTTATATTCTTTATTTGTTTTTATTATATCATTATTATCTTCGAAAATTTTTAATAATTGTTCAAATTCATCAACTTGTTCAGTTACATCATGATGTTGACTATTAAGTTCTGAAAATTTTATTAAAAAAAAAAAAAATAAAGAATATTAAATAAAATTTCAAAAATTCAAAATATTTCTAATTTAGAAGTAATAAGAAACGAAAATTATTTTAAGTACAGACAAATACAGTTACAAACTGAATTGATTTCAACCGGTTTCAATAACTTTTAATATATTTGAAAAAAAAAAGACGAACTTATAGGATTTAGCAAAAATCTATTAGTTCACTATTGAATCTAATTTTTTTTTTGATCTTTACAAAATTTGTTTACTTCTCAACTTGGAAAAATTTTCAGTCCATTTCAAAGTTAAATGGTGCGCGAGTATTTTTTGAATAACTTTTAAGATAGAGATCTGTGATTTTCACTGTTGGATAGAGTAAATGAAGACGCATCGAATTTATATTATAGAAAGATTGCTCTAACTACTTTCCTAACGGTTTAGTCAAACGTTTTCAAAAAATTGCTTTTTTCTTCTACGTCAAAAAAAAAATGGCTTTTCTATCAAAAATTTACATTTTTCGAGTATTTTGTTGAAAAAATGAGATGGTAAATTGTGTTCCGATGGTTTAAATATCATACTGGTAGTAGTTAAGAACAGAGTTTTGTAGCACTTCCTTTGCGACTCTAGCGCATTCCTGAAAATCGGGGCTATGAGAAGCATGCTGTTTTATGTAAAACCTATAGGAAAGTAGCTAGAAAAGAAAATCTTTCTATAATATAATTCGATGCGTCTTCATGTGTTCTATCCGACGGTGAAAACCGTAGATCTCTATCTCGTTCCTTTATGCCCACAGCTATTTAACTCTGAAATGGACAATAGTATGTGAATGTTACAATAATAATCAAAACTATATAAACATACGTTGCATAGCTGAAACAAGTTCTTTAGTCATATTTGGACGAGCTGTAACAGCAGCACAACAATCAAGTAATTCACGTGGTAAACGAAGATATTCATTATTTAATGGAACACGATTTAATTGTAAACAAAGCATAAATGTTCTAGAAATAAATATATATATATATAAGATTTTTCAAAATAAATACTATGGACAGTCAAAAAGTTTTGAGAATTTTCAAAAAGGATCGTGTCGGATTTGGTGACCTATTCAAAATTAATAAACCAAACATACCATGTTGTAGAACAAGTCGAGATGCGTTGAATGGCATATATAACAAAACTTGTTTTCAAAAAATTTTGAGAAAACTAGATTAGATTTACTGGTGAGCAGTCATGCATTCACCGGGAGGTATTACTCGTGAAAAACAAATCATATTTTTCTTTATCAAAAATAGAATGATCGGACGTATTAAGTATATAACCTTGTAGCCCGTGAAAAACTCTACGAAACTGTTTATAGGAAAATTATTATTACAAATACTTTCAACTAATACCAAGGCCCAAAATGGTCAATGCTTTAAATGCATGACTATCTATCGATAAATCCAGTCTGATTTCCTCAGAATTTGTTATATTACCATTCGACGCGCCTCGATTTGCTCTATAACAGAGTATGTTTGGTTTATTAATTCTGAGTAGATCACCAAATCCGACACGGTCCTTTTTGATTGTCCATAGTAAAATTAATTAATTTTGTTTTTTCCTTACTCAAGTTCTCGATTTTTATTTTCTGTTAATTCAATAATTTCACGTAAAAGTTTAGCTTTTTCTTCACTATATTCTGATGCAGCTAAATGTGCATCCTATAAAAAAAATAAATAAATAATTCGAATTGAAACAAAAAATTTTTTTTTTTATATTAATATTCTATATTTACCAATGGTACTAATTTTTGAAAAATATCTTGTCCACATACTTCTGCATCATGACAATCAAATGGTTGTGATTTAGCAACTATAGCTCCTTGAATAGCTGGTAAACTTGATAATGTTGGTACTTTTTCAAAATAAACACTATCATTATCACGTTTAGCTACTTTATATCTATAAAATAAATATTTATAGACAAAAAAAAAAAATTAAAATTATTCTAATCAACATACTTTCCCATAATAACATCATTTGTAAACATATGTGCATCTTTAAATATATTTGTTTTATCTGATGAAATTTTTTCAGCATTTTTCCATGCTTCTTTAAGTCGTTCAACAGCAGCTTCATAATAACATACAGATTGACCATGTTTTTTATTTTCTTCAGCTATTAAACCACAACAATAATATGTTAAAGCAAAATAATATGATAATTTATATGTTAAATAAACACGCCATTCCTAAAATAATAATTATAATAAAACATATTATTGTTGCTTTTAAACATTTTTTTTCTTTTCTTTTTAATAAATTAATATTTTAACTTATGTTTTGATGTTTAAGAGACTTTTAATTTTGCGATTTTGATTGGTTCATATAGTATGAATATAGAGAAACTATATGAATCCAGTACTATTAATCGCATAGAAATTAAATGAATATTGTATAAAGATACAAAATAATCTAGTCATAGGATTCGAACATAGTATCTTCTACTTATTAGACAAATGCACTATAATTCTATTAGATTCATTATGAATCAGTCTTAAAATTATCTTGTTCTATATGGTTTCTATCTGTTCTACTGAAAGTATTATAAAATAATTATTATAATTGACTCACAAAATCTATTCATTATATGAACTTATTTTTCTTAAATTCTCATTGTGTTTTTTTTTCTGTTATCATCTATGAATAGATGTTCATTCAAATATAACTTTAAAAAAAACAAACATACTCGAAATCTTTTTGATACAATTGAATTAATTCCTGGTTTCATAAGATTAAGAAGTGCCATTTGATAATATTCTGATATTTGCATAGCTACATGAGCATTAACTGAAGGTGCTCGTTGATCAAGTAAAGATTTTTCAAGTACAGCTTCATGTGCTTGTGCCTAAATAAATCATTATTTAATTATAAAAAAAAAAAAAAATATTTCAATTACCAAAAGTATATGAACTTGACATGTTAATAAATCTGGTGTTAAATCTGATGTATATGTTGTATATTGATCACGTACTTTTTCATAACATGCAGCTGCACATCGAAAATACGTACAAGCATTTTTAATACTCTAAAAACAGAATTTTTTTTTTGTCTCTTCTATGTATAAAATTTTTGTTTTAATACGTCATGTGTTCTTCGTGATTCATTAGCACCTAATCGTGAATACATTGCACCAAGATTATATAATATACATGCTTCTTCAAATCGAATATCATTATATGTATTATCTTCTTTTTGAAAAGCATCTTCCCTTAATTTTTCAAAAAAAAAAAAAAATTTTTTTTTTTTATTCTATGAAAAATTTTTACCATGTAAATCGAACAGCACATTCTGTATCAGGTAACATAGGAAAACGATTTCGTAATAATTGTAATTGACAATAATATCGTTTAAGTAATTGAATACCATTTTCATCAGCTGAAGAATTAATTGTAGTCTACAAAAAGAAAATTAAAAAAAACAATTTTTATTTAATTAAAATAAATTTACTTGTCGAAGACGATTCATTTGTTCACATTCTTGAGAATATTTATTACCATTTTCTTGATAAGTTGATGTAATATACTAATAATTAATATGTAGAAGGAAAAAAAAAACAGAATTTATATATTTAATAAAAATTAAACATACATTAGGAATTTTTTCACATAAATCAACTGATTCAATAGATACTTTTGGATCAAAACTAATAGCCGGTAGACGAGGACAACCTTTAAAAAAAAATAGTTCGATATAAAGAAGAAAAATTAAATTTTCAAATAAATTTACCTTCCATATTGTATATGAAATAATCTAAAAATGATGATAATAGAATAGAATTATCTGTTTTTTTTGTTCCTAATGACTTCTCACCAAAGAAAACTATCCGAATAACTAAAAAATAAAAAAATAGAATAGATCAGACTTTTAATTAGTCATAAATATAAACAAAAATATCATTGGTTGATTTATTAATGCTTGTCACTGAATATATATCAAGGGAAGGTGGCGTGATATGTTTGCTATAGAGAAAAAAAATAATCTCATTTTGCATATTTATGAGATGAGATCAAATTCAACAACAACAAAAAAAAATTAATATTTGTTTTATTTATAAGTTTTTAAGATGATGCGAAGAAATGATGATTTTCCCATAGGTTATTTAGACCAGAGATGGACAAAGTCGCACTGCGCCTTCCCGCGCTTCCCCACGTCGTTGCTCACGCCTACGCTACACTAGTCTGAGCCTCGATGAGCGCATGCTTAGAGCATCCGGGTATTCGGTGGAGTTTGAGAAACTGATTGGTAGAGCAAAGAGAAAGAGAGATGTGCGTAGCGCCTAGGCACGAGCAGTGGCGCGGAGAAGCGCGGGGAGGCGCGGTGCGATTTTGTCCATCTCTGATTTAGACCTTGAGTTCAATGGGCGTAGCCAGGAATTTTTGAGTCATGGACAATTCATCAGCCGAACTATTTTGAGTTACGGACGGCTAAGGGCAACCGTTATGATTTCAGAAATATCTATGGGCAATAACTGTTCAAGCACTGCATAGCTCAATAAATCCATGGGCAATGGTCCTACCCCTGACTACGCCACTGCTTGAGTTAGTTTTTTTCTTTTGTTGAGAACAGGAGGCACAGTCGAATTTTTTTCCATTGATTTGTTAAATTGTTGACAAACTTGATGCTCTCTTAATATATTAATCCAACAAGTAGTTCTCTTGAGAAACAGTCTATTGCTGTAGTTCAGCAAAAACATGCAATGTAAAACTCATTTAAATAGTAATAAGTCCTATTTTAGTCTGTCATGTTTCATATATGCTGGCCTTCGATTACAAACTTTCGAAATTCAGCAGTGTCACATATCCAAAATTTTGGAGATGCAGCCACGTCTAGTGCGGGAGATGCGACATCTCCTGCGAGAGATGTAGGCGCATCTCCACAATTTTGGATATGTGACACTACTCAAAATTTAGGTATTGTACGTCGACCTGCATCTTAAATTTATGTGCTTTACTTGCAAGAAACAGCTATACACATTACCTGGTTTTTTTCGTAAAAAGTGATTACCGGGAGGTAGCGCTGCGAAGATCCCTCTCAGGGTAAAGTCAAATCTCGTAAAATTTTTCCACTTTTTTTGACAAAATATAGGATTTTTCAAAAAAATAGGAATTATAGGACAAATCGGAGCCCAGTATATCATAACATTAAGAGCAAATGAAAATTTCATTTAGTAATATTCTTATTTTGAAATACACAATTGAAAAGCATCGTAAAAGAATACTATTGTCGATAGAAAGATAGAACGATTGTTATATTCAATTTTCTATTTTAAAGGTTTTTCAATATATTAAATTTTTTCACAATTACATAATACAAATATTTGACAAGATCTTAACAATAGAATGGGATCATAATCATGTTCAATTCTAATAATCTATATCCACCATTATTAACAAAAAACGCGTTTATTTTTACATTAGTATCGTTTGCATGTAAACAAAAACTTATTATAAAATAATTGATTTTCATTGAATATAAGCCTAATAATATTTTACAATGAAAATTATTTCATTAATTTTATATATAAAATATTAAATTTCAAAGTGATTAAAAAATTTGAAAATATTTTCATGAATAAATTTGTTGAGAAAAACTTCATATGTCACGATTTTTTTTTGTATAGTAAAGTTGCTAGTTTTCCAACTATTTAATCACTTTGAAGTCGGAACTGTGCGCATCATATAGACTCAAATGAGGTTTTGATATCCTGAAAAAAGTGCAAGCCCCATTGTTTATTACTATGAAGTGATACCACAAATTTACAGCTTAAATGAACATCTCCGTAGTAGTGGCGAAACCAGAATTTTAACGGTGAGGGGCTCAGCTGGTCGAGCTCTAAATCGGTAGTGGGCTCGTAAAAGTGTTTAGCTGACGCGGCTTCGCTCGGTAGTGGAGCTCAAAGCTTTGGTGGTAGGGCTTAGCCCCACCTGGCCACCATCTGGTTGCGCCACTACTCTGTAGGCTCCTCAAGAAAACTAATTTTTCGAATTTTGTATAGAAATAGATCTTAAAGAGATAAGTAGGTATATGTCACATATTTTGTAATAAAAATAGTATACCTCAATATCATTTGTTTCGGTTTGAATGCTTGCAAACTATTTTAATAAAGCATTGATATTGAGCGCCCTCTCTTTTCTTTACTTAAGATTTGGCTACGAATGTAATGCAATAGGAATTTAGTTGTAGAACTAATCAGACTATTTTTTCTTTTTGTTTTATTAGAATTTTCAATCTTTTAATTTATATCAGTGATGACAACACATAAATTTATAAAACATTTTCGAGATTTACAAGCCGGTGAAAATGAAAAAGCTGGAGCAGCCGAAACACTTGCTTATCTTAATGGTTTGTATTATAAAACAAAACAAAAAAAAAATTTCTTATTAAAAAACATTTTAATTTTTTAATTATCTTAGGTGAATTATCATTTCAAGAATATGAAAAACGTGTACGTGAAGTAAATACGGATTATTCAAATGTATCTGTTGGTAAAATTCTTAATACACGTGAAACTGAAATAGTTGATATTGATAAATTAATTGATGAATTAAGTGATATTGATGATTTAAGTGGATTAAGTAGTAGTATAAGTGATAATTCTGATGCATCTCAACATGATAATGAATTATTAAAAAGAAAAAAAAAAAAAAATGAAAATGAATCTAATATAAAATATCATCAACGAAAAAAAGCAAAACAAGATTCAGATGAAAATTCTGATGATGATGATGATGATGATGATAATGAAAAAAAACCTATTGATCAAAATGAAATACGTAATAAAATAGTAAAAGATCTTGAATTAATGCGTTTAGCTAAACAAAAAAAGAAAAGTATGAAAAAAAAAAAATTTTATTTAAATTCAATTATTTTTCATTTTCTTGTTTTTTTTAATAAGAACAATCAAATAAATCAAAATCTTCAACAGCACGTAAACGTCCTTTATCATCAGTAAAAAAAAAAAACTGATTTTTTTATTGATTTAATTTAAAATTCAAATTTTTATTTTAGTCTGAAAAAGTACCAAAAAGTCGTCTTAATCAAGAATATCAAGCATTAATGGGTGAAGCTAATATGGCTTATGTTCATGGTGATATACAAAAAGCAATAAGAATATGTCAAGAAGTAATTACAAATGGTAAAATATTTCTTTATTCAAAAAATAAAAAAAATATTATATTATATATTAGTTCCAAATGCTGCTGAACCTTATTTAACAATTGCACGAATTTATGAAGATCAAAATGATCATAATAAAGCATTTGAAGTAAATGAATTATTTATTAAAGAGAGAAGATTGATTAAGTTGTTTTTTGTTTTTGCAAGATGAATTTTGTTGCTGCTCATTGTCAACGTTCAAAAGATTTATGGCTTCGAATGCTTACTGAATGTCAACAACGTAAAGCTGATGATTTAATAACAACTTGTTATAATAACCGTAAGTATTTTTTTGTTTACAGTAAGACAGTTGATATCAGAGATGGACAAACTCGCACCGCGCCTCCCCGCGCCGTTGCTCACGCCTACGCTACACTAGTCTGAGCTTCGATGAGCGCATGCTTAGAGCATCCGGGTATTCAGTGGAGTTTGAGAAACTGATTGGTAGAGCAAAGAGAAAGAGAGATGTGCGTAGCGCCTAGGCGCGGTGCGATTTTGTCCATCTCTGGTTGATATATTCAACAAATTGAAAATTTTATAAAAAAAAAATATAATATTAATATCTTTAAGAGTTTATAATATCTAAATGAATAATATTAGAAAGATATATGAATTGTTTTCTATGTTGATTAATTAGAGCTTGTTGAATTTTAAATTGTTCAAATAAAAATGTAATATTGAATATTTCAGAAATAATAGAAAATATTTATTGTAATTTAATCGAATAAGTTAATTTTTAAGATTTTATTAATATTATAGAGAGATAGATTCGAAGTCATAGAAATTTAATTGGTAAATAGTTGAGATATGAGATCAAGTTTTGGTGGAGATTTTCGAAAACAATATTTTCAAGTTACTTTCTTTTGAGCCTACGTAACTAACTTGTTTCATTAGAAAGTTATATAACTTTTCCGAAGACTCTCGATTTCAGCCAATTGACGGATCGGATCACTAACATTTGGTCGATTTTGAACTTTTTATAAGACAAAAGGCAATTTCAGATGAGATAATAGTTTCGAATATTGAGAGAGTTTGAAAAGATTATTAATCTGTGAAAAAAAAAACTCGTTTTTCTTGACAAGAAAATATCTTCGACTTCAGATCGAATCACGAAAAATTGACCCACGTCGAACATTGATCTGTGATCATTCGCGGAAACGCAGCTAGGCAAGGAGCAATTCATCATACTCAATCGAATGGTGATATTTGTTGTTACATTCGAATTGATCTGACTTTGTTATCTTAATACTTCCGAAATGATGACTTCTTCGTTGTATGAAGAGTGACGATGAAATTTCAGAAATATTAAGATAACGAATTCAGATCAGTTCAAACCTAAAATTAAATATCACCATTCGATTCAGTGTGTTGAACTCTGTCTAACCACTGTTCTAAATGATTACAAGCAGTGTTTTATCTAGGTTTTTTCACCGGAGGGGCGATTTGAAATTCCGAGAGGGCGAAAAATTTTTTTCGAGGGGGGGCGGTACCCTTCTGGATAAAACACTGATTACAAGTCTATTTGCTGAACTCAAGGACCTCAGAAAAAGTCTTATGACTCCCGAATGAAACACGTTA